AAAAAAAAAAAAAAAAAAAACACAACTCCAAAACCAAAACAACACATCATTAATGACGAGACCCACTGCCACCTAATTAGTGGGAGCACTAATTTTCTACATATTTATTTTTTTGAGACAGGTGTCACCGCCCATACCAAAGTCCTCTATTTATAGCAGCATAACGTCTACAATGCCATCTGTAGTTGTCTTCATATCTCTTGAAATCAGGCCAACATGTTGGACTTCATCTCCTTTGCCATCTTCCTCATTATTATCTCCACCACCCTCCTCCTGCTCCTCTCCATCCACCACTTCCAAAAACCACCCCATGTCCGCCGCCGTCTCAACCTCCCACCAAGCCCATTCGCCTTGCCAATCGTCGGCCACCTCCACCTCCTCAGCCCCTTCCTCCACCGCTCCCTCCACGACCTCTCCTCCCTCTACGGCCCCTTGTTTCACCTCCGCCTCGGCTCGGTCCCATGCTTCGTAGTCTCCACTCCCGAGCTTGCAAAAAAGTTCCTCATGACACACGAGCTCAATTTCTCATCTCGCAAGCATTCCATCGCCATCGATCGCCTCACCTACGACTCTGCATTCGCCTTTGCGCCATACGGTCCGTATTGGAAATTCCTCAATAAGTTGTGCATGTCTGATCTTCTCGGCAATCGTAGTATCAATCATTCGCTTCCCGTTCGAACCAGAGAACTAAACGCCTTCCTTCAACTTGTCATGAAAAAAGCCAATGATTGTGAAGCTGTGAACCTCACTAAAGAGCTGTCAAAGTACACAAACACTATCATCTCTCAGATGATGATAGGTGTTACGGGTGAGGCTGAGGAAGCTCGAACTCTTGCCCGCGAGGTGACACAGATATTCGGAGAATTTAACGTGTCGGATTTCATTTGGGTTTTCAAGAACTTGGATTTGCAGGGGATTCGGAAGAGGGTTGAGGACATTCACTCAAGGTACGATGCATTGCTTGAAAGGATTATCACAAACCGGGAACATGAAAGAAAATCACCGAGTCTTGGAGATCGTCACGCCAAGAATTTTCTCGACATATTGCTTGATGTTTCAGAAGATGACAATTTGAATATCAAATGCACCAGAGATCAAATTAAGGGTTTGATTTTGGTAATTATATAATTATCACAAACTTTTGTACAATATATCAAAAAATCAAGGCATATATTAATTTACATTTTGTTTTATATGGACTTGTTGCACTTTTACCCTTTTGACCCTTTTTCTTGATCTATTTCTAAGCCCCACTTCTTTTTGGTTTCAAGCTCCGACCCTAACTGAAAAGGGCCATATTTTGAGCTCATCTTCACTCAACACAGCCCTGTGGTTCAAAATTGTCAACTGTAAAACAGGAGAGAGAATAGGCCATTTTTAGGAAGGGTTCAAAAGGGTCAGGTGGAATTACTGGCCGGCCACCAACTTTTGGTGTCCTCCCATGTGTGTACAACACAAATATGGGGGTTAGGATTGAAGAAAGTGACCCTAGGGTGGTCAACATTGGCTTGGAAGTGAGAAAAACGGGCGTCGGAGGGCGCCGGAGGAATATAACTGGTTGCTGAAACAATTGCTGGCCTCCCACCCTTCTACGGCCTTCCTGGTGATGAAACAGAGGTACCTGCCAAAAATGAACGAAAACCGATGCAAAACGAATGTTCGGGGGCCAGAACGCGCAGTTCGGGGCCCCGAAAACTGCCTGTTAAGCACCGAAAGTGGCATTTGACCACGAAGTGGGTCTCTCAGAACCCAGTGTCCCTCAAAAGGGAGCAAATAAGAAGTATGCCAAAAACCGAAGCAAATGGAGGTGGTGAAGCGGTCCCGAACCGAGGCACACGGCCAACGGCTCCGAAAAACCAGAAACCGGACTCCAAACGGGCAAAATAGCCTACGATCACAAAACGTAGCCTGCGGCCACTGAGAGATGAGCTACGAGACCTCTCCCTCCCTTCGCGAGGAAAAACCAAAGAAAACAGAGCCTAGTTCGCAAACCGAGGCAAAGCTCGCAGCCGAGACTCTGAAACTTCTGAACGAGCACAATATGCAATATCACCAAGCGCTCAACTGGTGACGTCTGAGTCTCAAGGTCGGTCAAAAATGGGGTGTCTACAGCAGTAAGATCTACCTTACCCCAAAATGGAGCCGGAACGGAGGCAGAGAGAATGAGAGACCTAGCTGTCTCAAGGAGATGACGGTGTTTACGTTCAGCTCGACCATTTTGGGCAGGTGTATCAGTACAAGAAGTTTGGTGAATGGTACCCAGGTTGGCCAAATATTCACAGAATTCAGTTTTAAAGTATTCCCCACCCAAGTCAGACCGCAACAATTTAATAGTAGACCCAAACTGTGTAGTGACCATAAACTGGAAAGTACGGTATATCTGGTAGAAGTCAAACTTATGAGTTATAAGATAAACCCACGTGTAACGGGTGCAATCATCAACAAAAAACATATAGTATACTGAACCCCCTCTAGTAAGAACAGGAGAGGGTCCCCAGACATCAGTATGCACAAGAGAAAAAGGAGAAACAGAAATAGATGTACTTTTATTAAATGGTAAAGCTGGCATTTTGGCAAGTTTACAGCCCCGATATTCATCAATTTGGCTAGGAGAAACTTTACCCAACAACCGTGACTGAGCTAAAGACCGTAAGTGGTCAATAGACAAATGACCGAGGCGAGAATGCCATAAGTAAAACTGACGTGACTAAGAATCTAACTGAAACGAAGAAAGTACAGCTGGAGAGGTGGTTAAGGAGAGATGCAAGCTTTCAATCACATAGAGATCTCCAACTCTACGGTCGATCCCAATCTGCTTCTTGGACACCTAATCCTGCACACAACAAACAGAAGAGGAAAAGATAACATCAAAACCAAACGCATCAAGTTGACTGATAGATAATAAACTGACAGATAACTGAGAGACATAAAGAATAAAATGAATAGTAACAGCAGACATGGCAGAGGGTAAGACAGACCCAATAGATAAAATAGACATACCAGACCCATTAGCAGTATTAATAATAATAGGAACGGGTGGGGAAATATAGTTTTGAAGTAAAGAAATGTGAGGAGTCATATGATGAGAGGCACCAGAATAAAAAAGCCAAACAGAAGAAAGGATACCTGAAGAGGACCCAAGCAAACTTGAATGAAAAGAGGTAAGAGCGGAGGTAGATGGGGATAGCTGAGAGGTGGACAGAATATGCTGAAGTTGTGCAACCTGAGCACTCAAGGAAGCCAAGTCAGGATCGGGAGCCGGAGTAGATGTAGTATAAGCGGCAGGAGGTCGGAAAGTACCCGAGGTTGGACAGCGGAACTGTGTCTAAGAAGACGGAGTAGGCTGACGTCTCTTTTTGGGACAGTTGTTCGTCCAGTGACTCCTCTGATAGCAGAAAGCACACTCATCTGGCCCTAATGGTCTTTTCTTGAGTTTTTCAGTGGCCTGAAGCTGATAAGGAAGTGGGGTCGATAATAAGAGAGGCTTAGCAGGAGCTAAGAAGACAGAATGAGGCAGAGTCTGACTAGCCGTCTTAAGACGGGTTTCCTCAGAGAGAAGCTCACAAATAACAGCATCCATAGAGGGAAGAGGAAATCGATGAAGGATGCCACCTTAGATAGCCTCACACTGAGGGGAGAGAGTCGTTAAGAACTGCACTAAATGACCCTGCTCCCGAAACTCAAGATAAGGGTCCAGTATCTTGAGACTAGATGGTTCCATAAGAGCCAACTGATCCCAAAGACCTGTCATCTCAATATAGAAGTCCTGAATAGTCTGATCTCGCTGACAAGCACTCTGAATACCTATTTCCAACTCATACCACTTGGCAAAGTTAGACTGTTGACAAACACCTAGTAAATAATCTCATACCTCCTTGGCAGTACTGTACTTAAAAAACATCATTCCAATACGGTTATCCACAGAATTATGAAACCAGGTTAGAACTTGGGTATTATCACAATCCCAAGTATCACAGGAAGTCAGATATCCTTCTACCTTCGGGTTCGATGGACGAGGAACAGAACCAGAAACATAACCCCATTTTTTTTTACCAAGAAGAAAATTTTTCATAACACTGGCCTAATAGGCATAATTGCCACCAGTGAGTTTGCATTTAATAGCTTGGATTTTAGTGTCTGACATTGTAATAAAACAAAGTTTATAAAATGTTATGGGTCAACCAGGAACAAATAAAGAACTGATGGGTTTAGACGGTAATAAATCAAAACCAGAGAGGATGGGTTAAACACGACCAAAACAGACCAACCAAAAACCAGTGGACGAGAGAGAGAGGGATGTCGCGAGGGAACCTGAACTAGAGAGTGACCTTGTGGGCCAGAAATTGAACCAGGCGAAGAATCGCAATTCCAGCAACCACCTACAGATCACGAACAGAGAACTAGATGGAGAAGACTCGTGACTACTGAACTAGATAGAGAAAGCTTGATGGGTCGTGAGATAGGTTGATTCAAACCAGATGGGATGCGATTCAAACATAGATGAGTCGGACAGATGTGACGAACTAGAAGGCAAACTCGATCGAACCAGAAATCAGAACCAAGGACCTAAACACGATGGCTTCTAGGGTTTTATATACAGCTCTGATACCATGTAAGTTTTCAAAATAAAACTGTATATTAGATTGAATTGATTGAACAAAGAATACATCATTTATATAGAGCACCACTAATTTCTAATCCTATATGAATACATCACTGACATATAGAAGTCTAATAGATATAAGACACTAATTCCTAATCCTATAAGAAAAAAAAGAGAACACATTCTTACAACTTTTTGATCAACCTAAATTATAATCACGAAATGAACAAAGCTAGTAGCACAATCCATCTAGTCGACTGAATAAAAACATAATCGGCCTCATTCAACTCTTTTTGCACAGCTTCACTAATTAGAAATACAATATGCACATGTCAACTCTTTTTTCGTAACTTCATTAATTAGAATTATCACATGTACGAAACAATTTTACACGTGTTGCACTTACTAATCTAATTGAGAAGTGAATTCATCATCTGAAATCTGACCCAAAAAACAAGTCTAATTAATACCGAGTGTATATATCACTTTAAACCAAAATTTTGAATTCAGTTGCCCCATACTATCACTAAAAACCCTTCAGGGCATCCATTATTTGATTTGAATTTTTTTGTAAGCTGAAACTTCTCCTAACTTCGCAATAATCAATTTAGTTAAGTAAATTTTGTTTCATAAAATATAAATAAAAACTGCACTTGACACTTCGATAAGCTAAAATAGAATTTATTTATTTTTCCTTCCCTCAAATGGAGGGGGCATTATTGTATACACATAATCAAACAATATGTGATTGAAATTGTAGAACAATAGTGCCTATGGTACAACTTCATGGGCTGAGAAACAATTATTGGTTGTTCAAACACTGCCTATTCAAGTACAAGTAGCTATTTTTATCAGAAGAAATTGCCTTAGTGGGCACCGGAGAGAACCCAGAGTACTTCCCATCTCTCTTCGCTAAGCATATGTCGACGATATGCTTAAAAAGATCGTGTTTCTGAACAAAAGGTTGAGCTGCATATTCCCTGAATGGCATCCACTGCACGCAGTAGGAAAGAACAATGTGAGGACTGTTTCACAAGTTATTGCAGGTCTAGTTTTCTTTTATTAAAACCAAAACTGAGAAAATTTTAGGTGTATACGTTGTTTTCCCTTGTTACAGACTCACAATATGATAATGAAACTATTGGAGCATGACTCAACATAAGAAATTTTATTTCCATAATAAAATAATTCAAAGATAAGCTTCTGGTTCAGAAAAAGTTTGATTTCGCTAAAAATCTCCCTGATGGGACTACCCAACTTATGCAACTCATCATCATTATTCAACAGGGTTCTGTCTTTTTCCTATAAAAAAAGTCCTTAACACAGTATGAGTCTTGAAAGGGCAACTAGCCCTAGAGATATTAAAACCAATAGCATTCCTTAAAACAGATTAGATTCAGCTAAAACAATTTTGGAAGTGATAATGCAATCATACAAATCAAGAAGGGAAAGAAATGGGTAAACCGGTTTGGGAGTTGGATAACAGTGTGATTCACATCACATTCACACGCTGCTATATTCATAAAATCAAAAACACTTTACTAAACACTATGTTGACAAATATTCACCTCTGCTGCCTCTATTTCTGACTCCTGCTTCTGTATGTCAAAGGACAGGGGCTGCAGTAGGCAGACAAAGAATAAATCCGACTTTTCAAAGAATGCTTCGTGGCTTTGTCTGTAAATCAAGTGAATGAAGAGTGAAAACAAAGTAAATAATTAAACAAACTCATGTAGCAACAAGAACCACACAAGCAAGTCTGAAAAATATGGATGAGAAATGCATACAGCTCTTCAACACGCTAGGCGATGAAATTTCAGGACCAATTGTATGGTAAATATATGACGTAAGGAAAGCAAATTGTTTTCTTACCCCTAAAGTAGGTTTAAGTGATTATTGCATCTAAAACACAATCGCTAATTTTTAAAGCATAAGACAAGGACTTTACAATAACACAACAGAAATAAATGGAAATATTCATTTTTTTCGCACCTGAAAGCTAGTATTTCCACAAACTTTGCATCAATCTGCAGCAGCAAAAGCCAGTAAAATTCACCAAACACGTTATTGGATGCATCTATACTTAAATGTGAGTGTAATCAGTGTAATCAATAATACTTAAATGAACAAAAATAAAACTCTTGTTACTTACTCCCGTCTCTTCTTTTACTTCTCTAACTGCGGCATCACAAATATCTTCACCCTGTAGATTAAAAAAAAAAAAAATCAATAAATGCACAAATTGCACACAGCACACATTTTATCCAGACGAACATACCTCATCAACAACTCCTGTAGGAAACTTCCACACTCCTGTTCCACGTAACATTCCACTCTTTTCTTGGACCACCAGCACCTAACAAAAGGTGAAAGTTGCAAGGAAAACTGGTCAATCCATTATCATATGGTCCTAAAGAATGCAAACAAATAAAGAGATCATAGCAGCACAAGCAGTTAGAAATTGCTTAGAAAATATGCATTGCATGGAAAGACGAAATGAACAAAGCTAGTAGCACAATCCGTCGTGTTCTCGCTTTATACCTATAGAATAGAAAGACAATATTATAAGCCAAAACTACTAATAGGGAAGGATACTAATCAATGGAGGACACAACACAAATCCACAGTGGAGAGACAGAATCCAGTATTAAGATAATGAAGATAATAGATGGAGTAATGCTATCCAAACAAAAAATTCATACATAATGATGTGGCTCATTGTGAACCTTTCACTTCAAAACAAAACACCACTGAAGATGAATTTGTTTAGAATAATGGCATTGCCACATCATTCTTGTGAAGTTTTTTGTATGAATATAATTTTCCTAATAGATGAGTACAATCTTGCTGTATTGAACTTGGTCAAAGAATCAAGTAAAAAACATAGTAAAATAGTGTAAAGATAATGCCTTGTTTTCGTGATTCACATATGACAATCTAAAGTTTTGGCACATTTCAAGGCTGAATTCTTGCATAATTGGGTGGCACAAGCCAAAGACTACTGGAAAGGGATAAGGCCATCATAAATCTTTTACCAAAGGCAATTTTACACTGGATTCAATAATAAGGATCAAGATGGCTAAAGCAAGTACTTAGTGGAGGAACTAGGAAGTAAACAAGAAGCACACACAGGAAGTAAGGTTCTCGAAAACAAAGGGAGCAGAGAAGCAAGAAGCAACCAAATGCATTTGAGCAGCATTTTAGGGAGGGAACTCAGGAATTTCATTAGTAATTTGCACAATCCAGAAACTTGGAAGAATCTAAAATAAAGAAAGCCCACAAAGAACATTATCAATTAACCAAGAACACAGGCTCATTCCCAATCTCCACAAGAGTAGTCAACTAGTAATAAAAATTCAGCCATTAATGGTCCATTTGATGCAATTCCAGATATGCAAATTTTCCACAGAACATATTTTGGGGAAAAAAAAAAAAAAAAAGAGAACAAATTATACAAACAATGAAGAAAGAATTGTTCAACTTCAAAGCTGCTTCATTGATAGCTGTTTTCCGTTGAACCATGAGAGACAGAGAGAGAGAGGATAAACTGGGTCTGGGGGGAAAAAATCACATTCAGTGTGTGCTTAGAATAGGAGCGAGCTGCGGTTTAACATATTAAAGATTTAAATTTAAGAATTTACGGCTAAGTTCATTCCAATATACATGTTATTATCAGAATTTATCATGAATATATCCATAGCTTTGTCACAACCTTTGACTAGTGAATATAAACAAAGACCTATTGACCCAAACTTAAAAAATACCTCTTTCTCTTCATTCATAACAAATGCACCAATACCCACACGGTGAGTGGCATTTACAGGAAGACTATTAGCAGTTTCAGGAATCCAGTAAACAAGCATCAAATATTTTGGCTCAGCATGGTGGAAATAAAATCCCTCCTGCAAGTAAATATGCAACAATATTCAAACACTACAATAGATTATCAGTTAACCATTGAGGATCACACACATAACTAATAACATAATCAACATTAATTAATATTCTCACCTAAGATGGGATTCTAACTTCTCAAGACTAACCACAAGAAGAAAGCAGATAGGCAAAAAACACACTCACCTTAACTGCAGGTTCAACAAGGTTTACAAGCTCAATAGGCAATTTAATCCAAACACCCTTCTTACCCTGTAAATCAACTTCATATTTTAATTAGAATGAATGAACAAATATCAACAAAAGGTACAATTCAATGCAATAGGGAGACCTAATATGCCCACGAGAGCTTGCATGTGGAAATCCACTGTCAATTGCTTGTGTGAGCAATAAAATAAGGCCAAGTTTGGCAACCCAAAAATAATCCATCTTTTTATCTTTTTTCCATCACATCACATCTCTACTTTTCTGCACATCTTTTCGTAAAAAGACAAAAAGTGCACTTATTTAGGTCATCCCAAACAATTCCTAAATTTGTGTCACATCTCAAAGTATCAAAATTCATAGAAACACTTCAAAAACTGGGCATGTCTGTAAAAAGGCTATATTACTCTGCTTTGTGCACATGCTTGGGGTTGTTAACATGGGCTCCGCGCCATTTGGAGACTAATAAGGTAATTTAGGCACAAAAGGAAAAGGTTTGACATGGCCCACAAACTTTTCTCCACACACACACACACAAAAAAAAAAAAAAAACAAACAAACAAATAAACAAACTTTTTTTTAAAATTCTCAAAAACATCAGTTTTTTTAGATTCTTAAAATAAAATGCCAAAACACAAAATGCATCTCTAAGAGCATCTCCAGCCTATCACCAATTTATTCATCTAATTTGATTCCAAATCAAAGTAAAAAAGCTTAATTTGATATAAACTACTCTAATCGTCTCATCAAATTTGTATCAAATTCTTTTTAAAAATTCATCTCTTATCCCAAATCTCCCTTTTCATCAAATTCGAGGAAAAACAAATCATCTCCAATATTTCATCTTGTAAAATTTTTATCAAATTCAAACTTGACGAACGATTTGATGAGTTCTCAAGTTGATAAAAAAAAATGACTTTCCATTTATTTGATGAACATTTGATCAAAAAATTGGAAATGACTTTTTAGCATTTTTTATCAAATTAAGAAAAGGTAAAGGATTGGAGATGCTCTAAGGTCTCCTGCCGTGGGAACCTTATGTAAAGCACACATTTTGCATAACCAAAATCCATAGAAAAAAATTAATAAAATAAATCTAAGAACTTTTCCATCTTCACACACAAAGAGTTGAACTACCAAGATTCAACAAGAGCGCATATTCAATTCAACAAAAGGAAAGACATTACTTTCATTCACATAATCGAAAGGAATAGCCATTAAAACAGAGAAATTGGAGTTCAATTCAAACAAAAAAGTAAAAACTACCTGTTGCCTCCAATGCGAAACCGAAGCTCTGAGCAAAGAAACGAACACAGCAGAGTCCACGGGCTCAGTAGTCATCTCCACGATAACACCTCCGTAGTGATCATTCGTAGCAGTGAGTAGTTTGCTGATCTGCAAGACTTCATTTTGCGACGACATTGACCTCAAATTCAAGAATGCACTCCGAAATCGGACCTTGAATCCCCTTATACCTAAAAAATCACAAAACAAGTAGTACTGAAATTAATAAATAAACCCTAAATTAAACCCCCCAAAAAAAGACAGTGAATTGTGATTGAAAGACCTATGGAAGGAGATTTTGATCGAACAGTGAGGAAGGGACGATTCGAGAGATGACAGTGACAGAGATTTCTAGCTGTGGAACAGAGCAAGGAAGGTCTCGAAAGAGATCTGATCATTTTGTTCTTCAAATGAGTTATATATATAGATATATATTTGAATAAGTATTATGCAAGCAAGAAATTCAAACCTTGTAACGTATTTTACCAGTAAAATAACGTTTAATGGAAGTTTTTTTTGTTTTTTGAACGAACGTTAAATGGAAGTTGGGGATTGAGAAACTTACGGTTTGATTCTTCGAAAACGAATTGAATTGAAAGTTGAAAGTTGAAAGTTGAAAGTTGAAACTGGGATTCACAGAGCGAAGATGGAAACTAAATTGAGCCGGAGGTATAATACGCACCCAACCAAATTATTGAAATTCTTCAATCAAAATAACTGAGAAAAAAAATAATGATTGTTATTTTGCAGACAGGCCCACCTATAAGGTTTGAAATAACAAAATGCCCCAAATGCGGACGACTGATACATAACGGCGTTCACAGACCAGTTTATTTAGTTCGGTTCTAAAATAGAGTCTCGTTTGGGAACATCACTTTTAATTTAAAAGTTAAAAAGTTATTAAAAAAGTCAAAAGAAAATCAATAAATTATATATAAAAAATTCAAAAATTCTTTTTTTTCTATACTTTTTATACATCTTTTAGTAAAAAATTAAAAAATCTTTCTAAACATATTAATTTGTTTACCTCATCTTTTAGCCCAAAAATCAAAGGAAATTTTGGGGTTAGAAGTAGGGGTGCAACTCGGGCTGGTCTAGTCGGGTTGGGAGGTTGTTCAAGTCCAGCTCAAGTTGTGCTGAGACGTACCTAGGCCCGTCCAGGCCCAAATTGTAACCCGAGATTGCTTGCACAAACCTGACACGACTTAAACCCGAATTGCCCGAGCTGCCTGAATTGTAAAAGAATTTCAGTTTTTTTTTTAGCTACATTATTAAATTATTAAAATTTGACTCTATCTACAGTTTTTTTTTTAATTTTATAGAAAATCATTAATACCATCAAATCAAATAATTATATAATGTAATAGAAATGTCGCTATCGTAATCTTTATAATTTATAAGTGAAAATAAAAAATTAAAAAAAATTATGTTATTTGTATATATAATATATATTTAACATGATTTAATAATCTAAATTACTTTAATATCAAGTAATGATTAATAATTTATACGTACATTTAATCAACTTGTTTGGTTCTAGTTTTCAGAAAACAGTTTTCAGAAAATTTTACTTTTTTATTTTTCATATTTTAATATTTTCAATGATTTTTTTAATATTTTAAGCATGTTTTTTTTTTAAATTTTTAGACACACCTAATATAAATACACTTAAAAAGTATAATATTTGTGAAAAAAATCTTTAAAAAATATAATAAAAAAATAAGAAAATTCAGCACATTTTCGTATTTTTGTGTGTTTATTAATTTTTTAAAATATTTTTTCACAAATATTTTATTATTTTAGATAAATCTAAATAAGATGCATCTAAAAAAGTAAAAAAATTACTTAAAATTTTAAAAATATTCACTAAAAACAAAAAAACATGAAAAATAAAAAATAAAAAATTCAGCTCTTAGAAAACTGAAACCAAACACACTGAGTATTTTTTATATATCTCTATATGTATAATTCGGATTTCATGTTGCTTTGATTGTTTAACGCCTTTACTCAAACCCGCTCAAATTTAATTGAAGCTTTTGAATTTGTGCCCAAGTCTATATCGAATATGAAAATATCTTATCTAAATCCTAAAAAAAATCGAGCTGAATTCGGGTTGCTTGGGTTAAACCCGCCCAAGTTGCACCCCTAGCTAGAAGGCTATTTTAGCCACAAAAAGAAAAGGCCTCGTTTGCCATGTTAACTTTTAGCCAAAAAAATCAAAAAGTTAAAAATTTCTTTTTCTCTCTACTTTTTGCACATTTTTTTGTAAAAAGTTAAAAAATCGCCACAAACATACTAGTTTTTTTTACCTCATATTTTAGCTAAAAAATTAAGAAGTTACTAAAATAATCTGTTCCCGAACGAAGCCAAAATATGCTAAAAAGTTAATAAGAAAAAATATTATATTCAAATCATAATCATTTTATTTTTTCTCTCATAAAAATAGTCAAAAAATTAAAATGACCAAAATACCCTCCACCACCACCGTTTTTTCTCACACGTGATTATTATTTATATTTCTCTCTCTCACTCATCAGCTGTCTCAAAACCCCTCTCTCTCTCTCTCTCTCTCTCTCTCTCTCTCTTTTGGATAAGTAAGTCATATTATAACCAAAAAAGAAAGATATACAATGAAATTCAATACACAGCTTTTGATGGGAGCACAAAAATAATCAAAATAAACTACTCCATCAAAATAAACTACTCCAACAAAACAAGGATTCAGAATTTCCTTCTAGCATTCTTCAAGTCATGAAGTTTCGCTTTAAGTTTTCTTCTGTTATCCTCTTTTGAAGTCTCCCCATAACTAGGATCACTTGGAGATGGACTCCCTCTATTTCTCAACTCTTGACTTGAATCTCCATTTCCTAACTCGTTTATATCACACGATTCAAGGACATCAAAGGCATTAGATGTTGAGGGGACAGAAGACTGCGTCTCTCTTTCTTTGTTGATCAATGGCGTTGAACCTTGCCCACTATCTCTTCTCTTTTTCTTCACCACTTCCCATTTAGTCGAAATTTGTGTTTTAGTGTCCTTGACTCTTCACTCATGTTTGAAGGAGCGAGGGTTCAAAGACTTTGGCTTTTGAGGGCACAAATTAGTGGTATGGCCAAAAGTCTTACAACCATCACACCTTTGAGGCTTCCATGGTACCTCAACTTGAATCTCATATGAGTCACCATAACCAAGATTTATTTTGAAAGACTTAGGGATCTCTTTATTTGCTGGCACTTCAATACAAATTCTTGCAAATGTAAGTCTGTTTCTCTTGAAAGTTGGCTCATCCAAATAAAGAGGAGTTCCCAAGATGCTAGTTATGTAACCCAAACCCTCTTCACTCCAAAGTTCCAAAGGAACATTGTACAACTTCACCCACAATGGCACACTTGAAAATTCACACTTTGTTAGTTTTAGTCTAGGTTGCCATTTTTTAATAACAATCAATCTAGCCCCAACATAATAGGGGCCATTTTCCAAGATTGTGTCCATAGCCTCTTCACTTTTTACTTTAAAAATAAAAAAACCATTGTCAATGGAGACAACGTCCTCAAGCAAATTTCCCCAAAGTTTCTCCGCCCAAGTTTTCACATAATGGAAAGAGAATCTTTTATCAATGAAGTATCCAACCAAAGCATTTTCCCAATGAGAAAAGCCTTTTTTTGAGATCTCAATAGGGACATTGTAAATGACATCTACTTGGTTCTCAATCTTATGGGCACCGATTTTATACTTCAATTTTGACACCTTGTTAATCTCTTCTTTAATTAAAGAGCTCCCAACTTGTAGAGGTTTACCTGATATAGCAAGTGTATCCAGACCTTCACTACCATCTTCCATATGTAGATCAACCGAATCCTCATTTCGACAAGCTCGCACGGGCTTATCACTCTCTCGTTGCTTAGAACCCATTACTTCTTTCCTTTGATCAGCACTAAATGAGCCAAATTTATTTGACAACATCATTTCGTTTGCCACCAATGAGGACCCAGTGGTCAATTTTGGCCACTGCTCAACATCAGTTAGCACTCTAGTTAGTGTGTTCCATACATTAGGTGTTTGATGCTGCTTTAGTGATTGCTCAGGTGAGGCTTGCATTTCCACAGTCCAGCGAAACTGTGTTGTACCAAGATCACAATCACACTCAATTGAGCTATCCTCTGAATCTACGTCCCTCAATCCCCTCTTGTTTACATTTGAGGGCCCTTGCCACGGTCCCACAAAATCTCCAAGTGAAAGAGATTTGGGGGGGCCTCGAATGCGTGTAGACCGGCGGGGAAGTACATTAGGCATATCATCAGTAAATAGTTGATCCACCTGATTTACAAACTCCTTCAAAGATACCTTAGTCGAAGATTTGCTTTTTGATTTACTCTTGGCTAGTTTGCTCTTGGCTAGTTTGCCCTTTTTCAATGATAGCTTACTACCCTCTCTGTCCCTCTCATTGTCCTTCTCTTTCTCTTTCTCCTTCTCCTTCTCCTTAATCATCTTATGACAGCACAGTGACAAGGTTTTCACTGGGGCATTCTGTCGAACAGGTAAAGGGCGAAACCTTCAACTGAGCAATTCAGGACCAGCAAACAGAGCTTTGTCAACGTAGCAAAGAATAGGAGGTAAAGAGAGCAGTTTACTTAATCCAACAAATTGGAATGGAAATCAACACAACCTCAGGAACCTTGGCATTACATTACCAGTTTCAAAGAAGAAAAGCATAGAGCATACCCAGCTCCATGTTCTGAGTTTTCAAAAACTCATTTGCCATTCTCTGATTGTGGTTGTGTTTGGCTTTATTTTAGACTCTGAAACTTCTAGAAGGCTAAATGATCAAAAAATAGCCTTAGCAATTGGAATAAGCCTTGGGAGTGTCTGCATACTAATTCTAGGGTTTGGGTTTCTTCTCTGGTGGAGACGACGACAAAACCAACAAATGTTCTTCTCTCTCTCTCTCTCTTCCCCTTTGGTGCCACCTTCCGCCTCTCTAACACCATCACCTCCGCCAACCGCACATTCTCCTCCAACGGTGTTACCTCCAAAGACTTCCACATCGACCCCCTTCCCTTCCTTCAGATCTATCGTTGTCCTACCAATGACTAGAGTTGGTCGGCAAAGCCCTGGGAATAGGGTTTCGCACCACCACGAAGGCTCGTCGGTGGGTTAGGGTCAACGGTTCACCACTGTCCTCCACTGTCGGCAAGTCTCGAAGCCTCTTGAGCAAGCTTCTTGAAGATGTCGTTGATGAATCAGTTCATAATCTCCATAGCATATAGATGAACCTGCTTCGAAACCTTGAAGATGTAGATCTTATAAGCACCGCAGTGTTCATCCATGTCGTACTGTTCCCTCTCATACATTGGTATAGCTATTACTATCGGCCAGATCGGGTGATGTTAGATCGAGATCTGAAACTAGGGTTTCGATACCCCAGAGAGAGAGAGAGAGAGACGGAGAATGAAAGTACTAGCGGTGGCTGGGTCGGCGGCGGTGGATGAGTTGGAGTCGGAGGTCCGCCGGATCTCAGCCAAAGCCACCGGCCGTTCATCTTCTCTCCACGGCCATTCA